TCAGCAGGATAATCAAAGCACTTTAAATCTGGTTCCAGTTCAAGCTTTCATTTTGAAAGATGAGATTTAGTGACTTGTCAAAGGTCACTATTTCTACTAACGTTTAAGCCAGAACAGGAGCTGAGCTGTCTGAAGAAGCTTGGGGGTTATTTGAGATACTATTGCTGTTCCTATCTGGGTCCTGGATAATGACCAAACACACATTCTAGGACATGATATGTAAAGACTAAAAATATAAACCACAGCTGTCAGAATTAATAGATTAACATTAAATGATACAAAAATAAACAGAGACTGTCTGTTTATTAACGGGCTTTATAGAGGTGTCACTGAGACATTTTAAGTGCTAAAAATTGCTGTTCCTTCTGTCAATTCGATCATGAAGTTATGCATTTCCATTTGCTTCTAGAAGACTAAACTTTAGTCAATCTTTTCAAGTTAGTTGGTTTGGGGTGGGAGTTTATGCTCACTTATCCAAAATATTTTATTCAAAAAAGCTTTTACGCACCAGCTAATATATTTAAAGAACTGTTTTAGATGCTTGGAACATAAAGACGAGTAAGATTTAAAGTATGTGAGTCAAGAAACACTTGAGACTTCCTTCTATAAGCCATGCACTATTCTAGGCACTAGAAAACCACAGTAACAGTGGCTTAAACCAGAAAATAATCATCATCAATAAAAAAAAAGTCACGAAGCTTGATTGGCAGCTATGACCTCAGTGATCCAAGTGGCTTTTGTCTTCCCATTTCCTTCTATTAAGAATTTTGGAATTTTCCTTTAGGCTTTTCACCTAGTGGTCACAAAATACTAGTTTCAACTTCAGGTGGATATCATATCCTCACAATACCATCTCCAAAGCAAGAGGAATGAGGGTAGTGAGAGAGGTCTCTATTAAGTATCTTTTCATCACACAAAAATTTCTATCCTAAGGCTTCTGAGCAGACTTCCCCTTAGATTGGTATCGATGACAGAACTTTCTGTGATGTTGGAACCATTCTGTAATTTGTGCTGTCTAAAACGGCATCTGCCAGCCACATACAAGCTAGTGAGCACTTGAACTGTGGCTAGTGTGACTAAGGAACAGAATTTCTAGTTTTATTTCATTTAAATTTAAATACTCACATGTACCTAGTGTCCACCATATTGAGCAGCACAGCCTTTGATTTTTTTGGGCTACAGCTAGGTTATGGCCACCAACAGTCGCAGGGGAGGCTGGGAAAACAATAAGCTTTTTTCGGTCTCCAAGGGAGGAAAAGTTTGCGAATGGTTTTTTGGCAACATCCAAGAGTGTCGTAAGAAGTAAACAAGACTGAGTGTTGCAGAGGCTGGTATTGTAGTGGGGGAGGCGAACCATATAAAAATGGAAATAAATTTTAAAAGGCAGCTATCTTCAGGTTCAAACAAGCCATGTTACCTAGACTCAGTCTATAGACGGCTAGTCTCTATTCTAGAGTAACATAGTAGGGAGTGATTGAAGGTGGGAGGGATTAACTTAAGGAGGTTGGGAAAAGCCTCCAGGACTTCATAGTCTGGTAGAGAATGAAGAAGACTGGCATGTAAAAGCAATTATTAATAAACAGGGTGGAATATACATAGATACACACATATGTTTATTATATATATATATATTTATACACATAGTTAATGCAAGGTCTATATTAAGAGGAAAAACAAAGCATCTTTGAGTGTTTCCCTGGTATCTCCTACAAGCCTTGCATAACATAGCAATGCAGGATCTGCAGCATACGAGCTTTGGAATGTGGTCCATCTACCATTAAAGCAGCAGTTGATGCAATACAGCTCTAATGGACTATGTGTATGTGAATGGTTAACGAGCAATTTCTCAGTTTCTATAGGATGTTCGAAAGTGGAACAATTACAAACACAATAAAAACTTTGAAAGGGCCTATTAAGTCCTACAGCTTCAAATGGCATGATGTTCTTGACGCCTGACAAGGGTTGTTAGGTGGGATCAGTAGTAGACAGACCTGTCTGGCAAGAGGTTGTCAAGGCTGGGGTAGCTTAATTAAAGTGAAGATTTTGGTGTGACCTAGGGTAATTGACAGTAAATTTCAGACAGTATCATCTTCTGAGATCTTCGTAAGTATGAAAAGAATTACTTCCATGTCCTTATGAACCCACACTGGTACAGGATGGAAACGACTGAGGGTTGTGTGCATTTAAAGTGTCGCACTGTTGAAAGTTATACTTTCTAAAGCCCTTTCCAGCTTTAAAATACTCTTATTTTGTGATCTATAATGATTTTTATTTTCAAAGGTAGTATGAGTAATTTCTATGCATAAATGACTGAAATTACCCATATAATTAAACATTTCCTCTGTATTTCTCCTTGGATTCATGATACCACTTGGAATATCACTTTTTTCTGATAATTTTATACTTTATATAACTTTCTCACCTATAGTAAAGTAGAACAAATGAGGCTGTGTACCAAATTGATGTTGGTACTTGTAAACAACATTCAAAAGAGACACACACATTTATTTCAACCATAGGCTGAAACAGAGTATGTGAAAATATTCATGGATCTAGGTTCACATGAGAATCTGTGGCTATGACAATAGTAATATGGCTATTAAAAACTCCCATGTTGTATAGTAAGAAGTTTTTATAAAGAAAACAGATGATGAGGAGGATTATTTTGTTAAAGAATAATAATTCTTTAAATTCAAGAGAAATGTGACCAATTTCACCCATTTAATACAGAGGCATCAGTTTGCCTTCTAAGCTTATTTATAGATTAAAATCTACTCCATGAGGAAGATCTCCCACTTTTTCTATCTATCAGTATTGAGACCTGCAGTGTTCAATACGGGGGCCAGTAGGCACCTTGGGCTATTTACATTTAATCAAAATGAAATAAAATGAGAAATTATCTTCTTACCTCACACTAGCTACATTTCAAGTGTTAGCCGCCGATAGTTGCCGGATCAGACCACACAGACCTAGAACATTTTAATCACATAACGTACTATTAGCAAGGACACTGTTAGGTTTATATAGCTCAGCCTAAAAAAATGTTGGCCAAATGAAGTGCTATTCAAATTTAATGCAATAGTGTATATTCAATGAAGGCCATTTAGCTACTATTGAGAAAGTTCTAGTTATACAGATTCCTGAAACTTGGTTCCTAAGATAAACTCTGTAGGGACCTTAGGCAGTACTGGCCTTAGACCCAGACAAGAAAATCCCCCACTCCACCATCCTAGCTCTCCTCTCCAAGGGGTGAAAAATCCCCATGGCCAAGGGATGTATTCCTTGAGAGCCAGTGTCCCTTCCTTGTCCAAGGGATCTGGGATCCTGGAATTCACTGATGGAAAGCTACTTCTAGGTCCTGAGCAAGCCTCTTCCCAGAACTGCCCTCCCAAGTGGAGGCCCAAACAACTGCTGTGTGCACTCCTAGGCTATCTGTGTGAGGGTGTCGACAGAGCTTGGCTGAGTGGGCTAGGGGACGTGGGGTGTCCACACAGGTGCAGCAAGCCTCTCCTGTTCAGGAACGGAGCTGGTACAGGAAGTAAAGCAAGTGAAAATGTGTAGGCCAAGGGTGGAGGTGTGTCTCTGCTGCCTGCCATGCTTTAGGGTGGAACGCCAAGGTATCGGGGAGCTGTGTACACACCTGGCCTCCCAGGTTGTTATTAAGGTGTATTTCTCAAGGCAGGAGAATAGATTTTGTTAGCTTAATACATTCCTTGTAAATATTTAAGCATAGGGTATGTGAGGCTTGGTCTTGCAAACTTTAGGGCGGGGCCGGCAGCCTTACAGAGACAAGTATGCGATCGATTCAGCTGGGGTTTCTTGGCCAGTTTGCTCTCCATTGCTCTAACTGGTTACATCAAAGATACAGGAGGTATCTCTGGATGTCAGAGGGAAACTTCTTTTAAAAAGGTGCTAATCCAGCGAGGGAGGCCCCGATACATCCTTTACAGGGACCAGAGCCGGAGTTGCTGAAAGCCAGAAACATCTCTGAGAGTCCACGCTCCTGGAGAGGAACCTGTTCCTAGTCCTAGTGTACTTGGGACAGATGAGACTACTTACGGTGTGGCAAGAGAAGGCTTGAAATCCCTTCCGGGGAATGGGTGGGAAGGCGATTCCTTTAAAGATAGCTGATTTAGGACACTTGCCCTCGCTTTTCCTTTCTCCCAGGAAATTCAGTCCCCCTCTTCTCCCTCACTCCAGGCCCGGGGTCCCCAGGCGGAGCAAGGGCCCCCGAGGGGCGCACCGGGAGGCTTTGTTTGGAGAGCCGCCTCGGAGCGTGTGGGAGGGGGGCGAGCACGCTCGAAGCCTGGACCAGCACTTTCTTCCGCCCGCCCCAAGAGCCGCACAACTGCGGAACCGGGGCCGAGGCCCGGGG